GGCAGGCGGACAGGCCGACAGGCGGACAGGCCGACAGGCGGACAGGCCGGCAGGCGGACAGGCGGACAGGCCGACAGGCGGACAGGCCGACAGGCGGACAGGCCGACAGGCGGGCAGGCCGACAGGCCGACAGACGGACAGGCCGACAGGCTGACAGACGGACAGGCCGACAGGCAGACAGGCCGACAGGCGGACAGGCGGACAGGCGGACAGGCTGACAGACGGACAAGGCCGACAGACGGACAGGCCGACAGGCGGACAGGCCGACAGGCAGGCAGGCAAGGCGGAGTCGTGCAGCAAGTATAAACGCACAGAGAGACAGACAGAGATAGACAGAGACAGACAGACCGGGAGATAGCCTAAATCAGACAGACATAGCCTACAGACAGACAGACAGACATAGCCTAAATACAGACAGAAAGACATAGCCTAAATCTATACACAGAGAAAGAGAGAGAGAGACAGAGATAGCCTAAATACGAACAGACAGACACACAGACCTAGCCTAAATTCAGGCAGACAGACAGACATAGCCTAAATCTATACACAGAGAGAGACAGACAGACAGAGGAATAGCCTAAATCTATACACACACATAGAGAGACAGACAGACAGAGGGATAGCCTAAATCTATACACACAGAGAGAGACAGACAGCCTAAATTTATACACAGAGAGTCAGGCAGACAGACAGACAGAGAGATAGCCTAAGACAGACAGACAGACAGCCTAAATTTATACACAGAGTCAGGCAGACAGACAGACAGAGAGATAGCCTAAGACAGACAAACAGACAGCCTAAATTTATATACAGAGTCAGGCAGGCAGACAGAGAGATAGCCTAAATCTATACAGAGAGAGAGAGAGAGAGACAGACAGACAGACAGATAGCCTAAATCTATACACAGAGAGAGAGAGACAGACAGACACACAGATAGATAGGTAGATATGGATGCACGGTGGCGAGTAGAATTAGGTTGCATGAACATCTTCCCTGTCGTTTCTCTCTGGGAAGACTTTCTGGAATGTTCCACCTCCTGCCTTCGCACCTTGGTGTTTCCCGTAACTATTTTCACAAAACAGGACACTCATTATTCAGAACGAATGAAAGCAAAGACTTGATTGGTGAGGTGCGTAGGGCTTCTCTCTTCCTTCTTTTGATACTGGGTTCTAAAGTTGTGTCCCCAGCAACTCCAGAGGACTTTGCTCGTCCCCTCCCAGCACCCACCCTGCGGCCTCCTTCAGGTTTTTTATTAATTTATTTTTTTCCTGCAGGTATCTATAATTTCCACCCACTTCTTCTCACTCCTCCTCCCAGCTCCATTTTGGTGTAAGTGGTTACACCAACGCACTGCCCCTGTCCTTTTGCTCTGACCAGCACAAGAGGACATTTGCCCAGCAAACGTTTTCAGCAGAATGCTTGAGAAAGAGAGAGAGAGAGAGAGAGAGAGTGTGTGTGAGAGTGTGTGAATACCAAGATGACTGGATTAAAAATTTTTCTTTTCCTGCTCTCCTCCATTCTGCTTTTGTTTCACCAACACCACCCAGCCGTTAGAATAGTTGAAGACACCCCTAGCCAGTGCATTCAAAAGCTCATTTCAAAACTTTGTCTTTGGGGCTGGGAAGGTGGCTTAGTGGTAGAGCACTTGCCTTGCATGTCTGAGGCCTGGGTTCGATTCCTCAGCACCACCCAGAAAAAAGCCGAAAGTGGTGCTGTGGCTCAAATGGTAGAGTGCTAGCCTTGGGCTGAAGAGCTGAGGGAGAAACGCACAGGCCCAGAGATCAACTCTGTGACTGACAAAAAAAACCCCAAAACCAAAAAGACAACTCTGTCTTTCCCATTTGTTCAGCATGAAGAAAGCGGTGTCACTGATCAACGAGATCGATATAGGAAGATTTCCGCGCCTGCTTACCCGGATTCTTCAAAAGCTCCACCTGAAGGTGTGTGGTTTTTATGTCACTGAAAGCTCACGTTCCTGATTGGAGAAATCTTGGGGAGATGTACCATTCTTCGTTTTCTCAGCAGATTTGATAATGTTCCCCTTGGTCCTGTGTTTGGGAAGTTCTGGGTTCAGTACAGTTAGTTTCTTAACAATTATGACGCTTTTCAGAGTATCTTACATACTAGTGTTCACGGTAAATGCCTGAGTGAAAGATGGCATGTAATAGTTTCCAGGTGCATTTGGATGGTGTCAGTTTTGGGGCTGCTGTTGTATGGCACGTACTTGGGGAAAATTCTGATTTCATTTCTTCCTACTATAGATAACTCAGGTGCTGGCTGTTGGTCAGCGTTAGTCTTTCTGTCAGTTTTGCTTCTCCTCTGTCTTTATTTCAAGGGCATCGTCATTTCCGGCTTTCATGAGTAGTTTATTGGAGGTGAGAGTCTTATAGACTTTCCTGCCCAGGCTGGCTTTGAACTGTGATCCTCAGATCTCAGCCTCCTGAGTAGCTGGGATGACAGGTGTGAGCCGCTGGCTCCTGGCTCCATCTTTTATTCTGACACTGTCGGCAGCTGTGAGCTGTCGGTGGAGCTGGGAGCTCCGAGGGGCTAGCACTGTGCTGCTCGAGTGGAAGTCATTGAGGACAGCAAGACTGGTGTGGCTGAGCGCCGGCGGCTCACGCCTGCCATCCCAGCTACTCAGGAGGCTGAGATCTGAGGATCACAGTTCAAAGCCAGCCCGGGCAGGAAAGTCCGTGAGACTTTTATCTCCAATGAACCATCAGAAAACCAGAGGTGGTGCTGTGGCTCAAGTGGTAGAATACTGGCCCTGAGCTGAAGAGCTGAGGGACAGTGCCCAGGCCCAGAATTCAAGCCCCACAACTGAAACAAAAAAATCCTCACTAGTGTGACTGCTTGCTTGTCAGCTAAGAAATGGTTGAGAAAGAGAATTTTCTTTTCTTTCTTTTTTT